AATATTTCTGTGACTGCACATCACACATTGTTTTGTTAAACACTTATTATAGTGGGGTTTTTTTTTAAAGTGAAATTCTTTCATTGTTTTGGGAGAAACAGCGGCTGTCGGTGGATCAGCGATGGGTGATTCACTCTTCATAGGAAAATTCCACCATCAGGAAATTTTCATTTGTCTCCACACAAACACGGGTGGTGCTAGAGTTACCTGTCACTAACCTAATGCCTTTAAATCACACTTTGTTGCAGCAATACAAACCAGGATTCAATTCAGCTGCAAAACAATTGTGACGTCCGTGCTGAAATCCCAGACGCCGCAGCATAATAGCAGCATTGTTTTTCTTTAGACATATTTCTATAAGCACAAGGATGCCAAGTGTCATCCTTCAGCTTACAGTAACATTTTTGCGGCTGCTGTCTGTTAACAGTCAGTACAGCCATACGCATGCCTGAGCTCATTCACCTCCACTTACTTAAACTACATTTACTCAAATATACATGTAATATTTACATGTAATATTTACATGTAAACGACGAATATTCCCCATTCAATTATCTCTACTCTGCTGCAGTTCAGAGTTGTATTATTCTTTTAACTCTATTACATCTTTGATGGTTTTGCAGTTATGTTACAAATTAAGCAACATATTATTTAATACACTGAACCATATCTGATATAGCTCTGCCCGCTGCCCCAGTAAATCCCATATTCATTAATGCATCTCTAAGCAAATTTAGGGGTAAATGCTTTCTGCCATAATAACCTGACCTCCACATTAAGACATATTGTATTTCTCAAAAAGAAGAAAAGCAGTACTTATACATACTTACATATTACATACTAACTTATTTTACATCTTATTATCCTTTTGTCCATCAAAAACATATTACGGCTAAATATGGATATCCAGGTAGAATAGCATTGATTATATTAAACTAGGACACCATGTGGCTCTATTTGATTTCGGTGAAATACGTGACAAGCAGTGACCCTGCCAAGCTTTTGTAGCTTGTGTGTTATAAGGGTGAAGGAGCAGGCAAACACTGTGAATCCAGAAATAGCATGGTTCTATATATGTGTATGTTTTAAGTTTGCGAGAGGAAATTGTGCATTACATGCTGCCATCATAGAGATTAATGCACACTACGGTGCAGGGCTTGTAGCACGTTATTTGAGGTCCTTAATATTTTCAGTGATAAGTTTTTGTGAACTTTAGGCTTTCTTTCCTTAAACGTTTTCACACCAAAGTCAAAGAGAGAGTATAAAGGTCAGTATTTTTCCGTTCTGTCTTAGGGGTGGGTTAGAAGTTAATCTGATTACTTTTGGGTCATCCATAGGATTAAAAGTAAACTGTTCATGTGTGGACTCCCCTTGGTGTTTGTTTGAGAGTGGGGCAAAGAATAGCAGACCTCCGGCTGCTCCCCTGCTTGCATGCGGTGGTGTTGGGTTTTGCTTTGCTGAATTTGTTTAGGGTAAGAATTGGGTGAGAGAAGGAACGAGTAGGCTGGAATAATTTTAGACCAGTGGGAATGATGGCCATATATAGATATCTATATATATGTGATGTGTGGATGGGACATTAGAAATCTATATAAATATTGTTCAAAAAAGTATAATCAGTGTTTCCTTTTCACAGTTTTCTTAGTCGCTTATTCTTCCTAATGTGTCTTTACAGTTGTGGTAATGAGCAGCCGGCAGCTTTAGTCAATTTGGAGTAAAAGTGGCAGAAATCACTTGCTTGAGTGTCTCTTTACAACAAATCATTGCTGTGACCAACATTGCTCAATTACCAGGCTTATGAGTATGATGAGCTTAACCTCAACCTCCAGCTCTGTTGCTTGAAATTTCCCTCTAATTAGCAGCAGGAAGGCTGTCTAAGTACTTCTATGAGACTGAGGTCAGTTGATGGAGGCTGGGAACCACTCAGAGAAACTAATTAGCCAACTTTCCAAAACACACACAGACAGTGGAAGTGCAGGAAACAGCAGCATCAAATAAACAAATCAATTCTACAGTTGAAGGTTAAAAGTTTGTAAGAGATGCAACAATTAAATGCAGCATTTTGTCATTTCAAATAGTCATGGCTCACTCTACGGGAGGTGTTGAAAGGCTGTAGGTAAGCTTAGCTTCATCCAGCTAAATCTGTTACACTTGTTTAAAAGGTATCACTTCACACTTCTTTTTACTGCTCACCTGGGGGCGGTTACAGGCGACTACAGACTCGCTATCCAGACTGAAGCAATTAGCTTGATTGAAAACAGACCTAAGTTGTTCTATAAGGTAAACGTAGTATTTACTAACACTGCTTATTAAAAAGAACAAAACAATACAATTTTTATTTGTGTTAGATATTGTCCAAATCACTACTAGAGGCATAAAATTGGCTTTTTTCCTGTGTGTAAAAAAAAACTGTGATGGCTAAATAACAGACATAACTTTGCAGGACTCCTGATAAACTCATGCCAGGCAGCAATTTTTAGCTTGTGTCACGGTCTGGCTGGGGCAGACCGTATGTGTTGCAGAGGAGGACTCAAACGCAGACCAAAACGTGGTGTGGATTAACAAAACAAGCCGTTTATTGAGACTAGCAACGAGGGTACCAAATAATAGGGCATCGGTGAAAACTAAACAATAACCTAAACTGGGTGAACTAATAACAAAACATGAAAAACCTTAACCATAGTGAACTGACATGGGTACCTGGAGATGAGACATGGATGAGCAGACGACCTGACAACAAATGACTGAAAGCACACGGACTAAATACACACAGGAGGATGATGAGGGAAGTGGGAACACATGGGGAAACAGCTGGCACACATGAACATAATGACGTCACAGTGGGAGAGTAAAACTGAACACGATGAACACAGAAACACCAGACCTCTTCACAATAAAACAGGAAACATAATGAGACATAGACATGACAACCCGAACTTGACAACGTAAGACACAGACATGAAACGCATGAAGAGCAGGGGAGATTTAACATAGTTGGAAACACGAGGGGGAAATAATAAGAACTAGAAACACCTAGGCATGATAACAAACGAACTTCGGAAACCTGAAGGGCTTACATAAACTAAAACTCAAAACGCTGGGTCAACAGACCCAGGATCATGACAGCTTGTCTATGCTTTAATTTGAACAAAGCCTTGTTTGAAAACAGTAAGCGCAGATCAACCACTTTTTCTAAGTTGAGGGTCATTGAAGAAGCGCTGCGAACATGCTTACATCAGTCCCAGAGAGTATGAAGGTTTAGATGGGCATTCATCTGAGATAATCTCTTATGAAGTATGCCCTTTGGTACAAATGGGAAAATTCTCTGGGGGGGCTGTGTTCAGAAAGGGTGTGAAACTATTTTTGTAGTGTAACAAAAGCATGTTTGCAGGTCAGAGGCTGCACACTGCTCCTCCACTAGTTTCCCCCCTCTGTGTGGTGATCTCTTTTACCTTCAGGCATGCTCAGAGATAGCTTTCACCAACTATGGCTTGACGCTGGAGACACTAAAAAGACTGAGCCTACCCCCTGGCATTCAGAGTCTGGATTGATTGGCTCAAGGATTTCAACACAGAGATCATTTGAGAGATTTCAAAAAAAGCCTATAATCTAATCCATTGTGTATTTATATGTTGTAGCTAAAAAAAACATTTTGTCATAAAAGGTCTTTGAATGGATGCTTTATGCATTTTTATCTCTCAACACGTTTTCAACACAACATTTCAGCATAGACACCCAGTACTGGGTTGGTTCTAGCTGTGGACTTCATGGGTTATTGAATCAATCAGTAAGTAAAGACGTGAACAGGTGTAAATCAAGCTCAAGACAATAATAAAACATTATGTCTGGGACACAAATATAGTTCTCAATAAGATAAGTAAGACTGGAGAACTCTGGAGCAAAGACTACTTAAACAGAGTTAAGAAAATATCTTCAATTGCTATTGAATGTCTTGGAAATATTACCATCTTCTAGTATTGTGATAATTCTTCTTTTTTTAGATTACTTTTAAAATGGGATCAATCTGAGTAAGTTTTATGACAAAAATGATAAAGCGGGGATGGTCAACGAGCAAAAGAAAAGCATGACTAATTAAACCGCTGCCATCCTGGAAGCAAAGCCACCAATAGTCACTACTGATAAGACACTAAGATATGTATGTGTGTGTTTTAGATATTGTAATTAGGTCCTTGGAGTGGAGAGAAGAAGTCTCAGAGGTCCCAGACATGTTCAGAAAAAAAAAAAAAATTCAGAGATGTACACACACTGAGCATACCAGTGAGAAATCTGGTTGAGGGAAGCCGAGGGAAGTAAGCCCTCAGCCTTCCTCCGCTATGACAGGTAGATGATAGAGCGAGCTGTCAGTGCCAAAACACGCGGATGGATGAATCAACCGTGGGACATAGTTGGATCCAGATAACCCCCTTTAGGTACACACACACTGTACCGTGTAGAACCGCACACAGTCGTGCCACAAACTGTATCAGAAGTGCTGCGGTTAATAATGCATGAATGTGTCTGTGGTGGAGGAGGACTGGTGTCTCGGACGGCCGGCCCTAATGAAGTTGGGCATGTCTGCCTCACTCTGCTGCCAGAAAGTCATGAATAAACATTAGCCGGCTAATTAAACTCAGCACTGGCAACTGTACTCATCAGTAAACAAGAGGCAGCGAGGGGTCTCGCACATACTTGCAGGGGATTTGCATGTAATAGAGAAATGGTAATACAAGCCTTTCACTTTCTAACTAGTACAGTATGGACTCTGGAGAGGACCTTTAGCAAAGGAAAAAAGCTGTGCAGAATATTTGATCAAGTGAGGTAGACTAACCCTAACCCTGACAAATAGATTAAAAAAACATTCTTAATGCACAAAATATACTGAAACAGTAATAATAATGAAAATGGAAACTGTGCATTAGATATGATGTATCGATGTGTTCAGTAAAACATCTAATTGCATTAATTTAAACTGTTTGCATTCTGTTGTGTTTCCCCCACAGCCTGCAACTGCAACCTTCACGCCCGAAGGTGTCGTTTCAACATGGAGCTCTACAAACTGTCGGGGAGGAAGAGCGGAGGAGTCTGCCTCAACTGTCGCCACAACACGGCAGGTCGCCACTGCCACTATTGCAAGGAGGGCTACTACAGAGACCTGTCGAAGCCCATCTCACATAGAAAAGCCTGCAAAGGTACAGGGCTCTGTTTGTCTTCTCTTTTGTAAGTGACCGGGGCTCGGATTGATCCATTTCGCTCAAGAGTCCCTCGGCTTTCATACTGCGTATACTGAACATACAAACCAATGTTAACATTATGATGTGCGCTGCTTTTTTCAAGAGTGTACTTTATATAAAGGCAGGAAAAAGAGGATTTGTGGTCTTCACATTCCTAAGCCTGTCTCACCCTCATCTTCCTCTGTCAGCAAAGATGAGTTGGGGGTCTTTTGGGATTGTGGAGGTCGCGACGGTGGTGGTGGTATGGGCGGGTCGGGCTGGGTGTTCCCTCGTCGACGCTGAGTTATTTGGCTTAGTTGGCGCTGGGGTGAGGGGATGACAGGACAAGAAAAACAAACAGAGCTGAGGTGTGAAGTGATCCTCGGTGCGAGTCAAAGACTAATGAGAACCCAGGGAGACTGGTTCAAGGGCTGCAAAACGAATTGAAAAGAGAGCAGGAAACAAAGCAAAAAAGTCAAGACCAGAAGGATGGCAGGAGAATGAAAGATGGGAGGGAGGGAGGACTGATGGGTTAGAAGAAGAGGACGAGAGGAAGGGGACACACCCCTACGCAGGTGTGCTCACTACTCACTGCTGGATGAATCGCATGCCATCGGCCCTCACCGTAGCTAATAAGGGTCAAAGACAGAGAGGTGGTGGAGGCGGAGAAAGAAGTGACGGTGACTGAAAAGAGAGAGAGTATGTTTTCTCACTTCTGCTATAGCTGCAGGGAAAAATAACAGGAACTGAATCCCTGTGCAAACAGGCCCAGAGACACCTCAGATTTACTCTGTATGGATAAAGCATCTACACTGATGCAAGCATACCTGTTGGAGTGTTTCAGAGCGCTCTAAAAGCGAGCGAAGGGAGTGCTATCTATCTATGTGCAGACAGTTTGAGCCAGAGGTTTCTTATATCATTCAACAGGAATTTAAAAAAAAGGTAACCACCCATTTGTTAGTTTAAGAGGGAGCATGTCTATAAAGCATCAAACATCTTTAAAAAACATGTTTAGATGAAACAATGGCGTGTTAAGTTGTGTTGTAGTCAGCTGCACTCATTACGAACACAAACGACACCACTGATGAAAGATATTTGTCCTCAGCGTCTGCTCGTTTCTCTGTATTGACCATAAAACCTTGGAGAACGTGCACTTTTCCGTGTTGACATGCTTCATGCTGCTGCAACGAAAACATTTACTGACCTAATGCAAAAGAACGTCACAGATGTTTCACTCAGTCACATTAAATTCCTGTCATTCAGCAACCGCATCGAGCACATTTTCTTCCCCGCGCAAAGACAAATTAATAACAAAGAGCTCTAGAAATGTTGGAAGTAATTCCCCGCCTCGAGTCACTGGTGACCAATATTCCTCAAGTGATTTTAACACCTTCCATGGCTTCGGGCCCATTCTCCAGTCGGCCAGGAATGCAAACACGCATTCATCACGACAGGACGTTTTGTGTCGTTTAACCCCAATCTACTGCTGTGTCTACCAGGCTGGCTTATTCGGGAGATTTCACCTCTTTTTTTGTTGTTTTTACATCTCTTCTCGTGTGTCTAAGACTTGATTCTTTCAGCATCTCATAACTCACATTCATTGGTGCTAGTTCCTCACACTGGAAAACTAGTTTCCTCGTGGTCCTGCTGTGCAAATATAAAATGTAAACCCACTCTTATAATTTATAGTAGAGGCAGCATTAGCTACATCTGTAGCTAATGCTACAGATGTAGCTAATGCTAGTGCGATCTTTCCTATTTTACCATATTTGCTAAAACCATAAACTATATCAATGTTTCCTATGATTACAGATAACTTTTATTACTTTTTAATTTCTTGCACTGGTGATTTCTCCGTGTGCTCAGGTGCCGCTTATATGAGAAATTATATGTGTTTGGCTGAAAAAAAAAGGATAAAGCACGAAAATGATGTTGTAGTTACCATCCTGGTAAAGTTAAAGCAATATGAGTATTAAAAAAACAAATCCTCAGTTAATGTCACAATAAAAGGTTGGGTTATTTTATTTTATTTTTTACCATCAATAGCAAGCGCTTTAGCTGAAAGAGAAAAAAATAATCTGTTTTCACTGATGTGGAAATGTGTTCTCATACAATGATGACTAATTTGATGTTGCGAAACTTTGGATAAATGAGTCATGAAGTTAAGTCAAAACAGCGAGTCAAAAGCTGTGAAAAATGCATGTAGTGTGGACCTCTGACATCTGGAGTAAAGTGATGTATAGCATGTGCATCTGGGTATGTGGGGCTGCCTCTGCATTCTGTAGCCGAGTAAAGCTTTCCTGATAACTAGTGATTCGGATTCATAGCCTAAGAGAAACTCCCCCCATCTTCACCTGTGTCTTCTGCTTCTATAGACTCTGTGCACCTTCTCTTCCTGTTTAACTGTACATTAGAAACCCTTTTATATTTAAATTCTATATTAAATAAATGAATGAACTGACTAAATCAGTTCTAATAACAGAAGATGAAATGTGAGACGCTGTTCTCAGTTTGTCAAAAGAATTTCCTGCTTTTGTCAGTTTGATTTTATTGCATAACCTCAATTCCAAAAGAGTTTGAATACTTTGTAAAATATAATATTAGAATGCAGTGATTTCTTTAACCCAGGTTTTATTCACAAAATTGAAAATGTATCAAATTTAAATACTGAGAAAATTTACTCTGTCAGTCTTGGTTGTGTTTTCTGCTTCATGATGCATAAAATGTTTTCGGTTGCTGGAAGGGCTGGACTGCAGGCAGATCTGTTCAGCAACTGGACTCTTCTGCTATGAAGCCATGCTGTTGTAATACATGCAGTATACGATTTAGCAATGTGTTGCTGATATATGCGAGGCCTTTTCTGAAAGAGTTGTCCTCTGGATGGGAGAATATGTTTCTTTGAAGCCAGTACATAACTTTAAACACTGGTGATGCCTTTCCAGATGTGCAGACTGCCAGTTCTGTGGGCACTAATGCACTCCTGTACTAACAGGGATGCAGGCTTTTTAACGCAAGCATCAATAACAAGCTGGATGGTCCCCACAGAGGATGCTGTGCCCATTTTTTCCAATTAAGAATTTCACATTTAAAACATCAGATTTAGGTTTTCCGGTCTGTCCCTTATGCACATGAGATTTCTCCAACTTTTCTGAGTCTTTTGAGGCTTCACAAGTTTGCATTGAGAAACAATTTTTTGAAATTTTTCCAAAAGTTTTTTTTGGTCTGGCAAACTTTGTCTATTTAAGATCCTCTCTTATACCCAGTCATGTTACCGACCAGTTAACCTAATTAGAAATGTCCCTCCATCTGTTTCTTCCTAAAAAAAAAACCAACAACAACATTTTACTTTTATTCCCAGTCCCAACTTTTCGAGATGTATTGTTACCATTAAATTCAAAATGAGTCGATATTTTTCATGAAAAAGTAAAATGTCTCAATTTTAGGTCAAAACATTCTGTTGTTGTTGTTGTTTTTTTTAGTTTTTTTTATTTACATTTTACACAGCATCCCAACATTTTTGGACTTGGATTTGTAATTGAATATCTTTGTATTTTGAAACAAAACAAGCAGTCTGCAACCTCCCTCCAAACTAAGAATGATGGAAAGAACATTTTTCACTTTATTGGCGTTTCAAAAAGCACCTTAATTCCATTCAGTTTTATTTATATCTTAATTATGAATGATTAATTGAAAAAAAGTCATTAAAAGATTAACCGATCATGGAATTATTATTATTTATATTAATTACCAGTCAAATCAGCATTAGTGTTGTCATGCACGCACTTATTTCATGCAAAACCCAACACTGTGATAAATGAAGTCTGCGAAACCGCTGAACAATTAAATCATATGATCTATAATAATGTTATTGTTACAGGATAATGACAGTCCCAGAGGCTCATAGCAGGAGTGGAGTCATGTCATATACTCATTACATCAGTGTTCTGAAACTAGTGAATACTAAATCATCTCGCCCACACTAGGGATTGATTTCTTCTCGGCTCCTTCACGTGCACCGCTGCCTCTCACCGAAGTGACGTATAAACAGATTTCATCATTGTTTATAAAATTGTCAACTTACCCAAACGGTTTTGTTCAATTTGATCCATGAAATTTGCCAGGGTTTATGCACCTCCCACCTCTCCCAGCACAGTGTAATTACAAGCAAACACTGTCCAAGTTCTACAGAGGTATTTGGTTACATCAAATTAGACTTATAATAAGGGGATCTGTGGTAATTACCCCAAGCTGACAAACGATACGAAGCATGAACTCGTTCTTTTGCCAATTAAAACATTTTGTTTTCCAAACTATATTTGGAAACTTACTCATGAAGACTTTAAAGATATGTGTCACTGTGTTACATGCCCTCTTTGTCTGTCGCTCTCTCTTTGCTAATGAACTTTGCAAAGTTACCGCACTCCGCTTTCCCCCCCTCTCTCAGACACCTTCGTATGCTTTCAAAGTTCTGCCCTGCCAAATTCTCTCAGGTTTACCACATCATAACTCAAGATAATTCAATGGAACTCAAACCGCAGAACTAATTTCTGTCTGCTCCTCAAGCAGCGTAGGCTCTGCACCGAAGTGACAGCAATTAAGCGGTCTGGTTATTTATTGAACTCAAAGAGAGAGAGCCCTTTGCCGTGTGGCCTTTGGAAAAGAATGAGTGCTGCAGGAGCACGGGCATGTCGAGGAGAACTCCAGTTTGCTTTTATATGTGTAATACAATCCTCTCAGAAAGCAGCCCGTTTCCATAGGAGGTCATCTGGAGTGAAAAAAAGGGCAGAGGCACATCTATTACAAAGTTAGCCCTGCCTGGTGGCCACATTCACAGGCTGAAATTTATTACTTTACCCCTCATTGAGAAAGAGTGTAAACTCAGAAGGATTTTCAGTCAGCTCTTGTTTGTATCTTTAACCCTTTGATGCCTCTAAATAACACATACTGAGTGTATTTCAGTTTAGCTTAAAGGGATGATGATCAGATTTGAAAAGACGACAAGAAGCAGCAGTCTGTGTGGTCTTTGATGCTTTAATAAAGATAATACATAAAACTCTATGGCAATATGTCTGTGTAAGGTTTAAGTAGCTGATCCATTTTTTTATTTATGACTTTGATACTTGTTTCAAAAGTTAGTCCTGTCTTTTAAAATGATGTTATACAGTAGCAGAATATGGTTACATTTTGTTTCCAGGCTCCGAGTGCTTCACTACCCTCAAAATATGTCATATAGAGAACCTGGGGACTAATGTGTAGCCTATAGGTGAGTTGTGAAGGGTGGAGGGGTCAAAATAGCTAGCAGCAATGCCTTGCTACCATGGAAATTTGGAATTTAACATACACCAGCTTGAGGGTGTGTTTAGCAATACAGTGTTTGGAGAGTAAGGCCTGTCTTATGTTTGTCAAGCAGTGCAGAGTGAGTGAACTGTCCAATCTAGTTCACAAGCTTTGCTCTGTGGGCTAAATACTACAATATCTAAAGAAATACAAGAGAAGTCCACAGCAAATAAAAAAAGACCTGCTCTTGATTAGTTCTCCTCATAGAACATCAAAACATGTACCAAATTAATCTCGAGCTTGGCACTGGTTCTGCGATGGATGGATTAAGTTCAAACCTTCAGAGCCTTTAAATGTGAACATCAACCATCATGTAATTACATTGGTCAGTTGGATGATGAGGAACATATTCTGCATACAGGGGACAATTAGGCTTTGACGGAGGGATAGTCTGTTTCAATCAGAATAGCACCCTTCGACCCTCCTTCCTTCGCATATGTCTTCGATTGATACAGTTGAATTTTTTCTCATTGACCACACATAAAAATGTTTTCTACGAGGGTTTTGAAAAATATTGCTTTTCATTACTTCGCTTTTAACTTTTAAAAATTTATTTTTTATTCTTTACAGGGGTGTGCTGATATCAATTAGCAGAACACACATGTCTTTAATGTGTTGCGCATTAAACATCATTCACAAAATAAGCTCTTGAAGAACATTTTCGGCTCTCGCGGTGGCCAAAACACGACTCCTCGGGCCATTGCAGCCCTATTATTCTCCTCAATAAAACATTAAAAATACAAGAAGCAAGAATGCACCCTCTATTAGGTACGCATGCCATTTAGAAGGCTGTTTATAGTAAAACAACTGAATAACACACATCTTTCTTTTGCTCTTCAAAAATACTTGTGGAGCAGAAACCTAATTATAATAGAACACAGACTCAGGAAGCTTGGCTTTAATCCAGGGCCAACAAATTATTCTTACTGGCACAGTGTGCACAAACCCAATGAGGGAGTGGAGTTCAGACTTCAAACACCAGCTTTATGGTAAACGATAGGCAGAACTCAAAATTCTTGCATTGTGCAATCTCAGACTTGGGCCCGACCGCTTGCCTTTGAAAAAGTCTTCTTCCCTCTTCATTAACTGCGGACTTTTTTCATTCTTTAAAACGCAACTCCCAGCGGCAAAGGCTCCCTTTAGTGTCAGGAATTCCTTTTTCATCTAGACACATGACAGTAATGCATAGCTAACCCCCCAGGTTACAGGTTTTCTGTTATTAGAAAATGGTCGCAGGTTCTCTTATAAACATAATCCAGGTCTTATTTTAGATGTCTCTCAGTTTTTTTCTTTCTTGGAAGCGTTGAGAAAGAAGGGCCTCTTGCCCTCTGGTCCCCATATCTCCCCAAGCCATCTGGAGTATCCCTGAAACACAGCACAAGGCCACTTAACCGTTTAAGTGGACACACACTTAAACCAGAAACTCTCACTTGCACCTCTGGAGTTAGTCAGTCTTCTAGTCGACAGGTGTGTCACTGAGTCGGACAATTTGTCACTGGACAGGATAGCGAGTCAGTCGGCTCTCGAGCTGATGAAGAAGACCAGATGTGGAGGAGAAGGAGGAGGAGGCTGAGTGTTTGCCACCTGTACACCATGTGCCGTGCACCTTGATTTACTAGCAGGCTTGAGGCTCTGAGCTGAAATTATGGGCACACGCTCTTAAAAGCATAACCTGAGCTCTCTGAAGCTCCAAGCAGAAACTCGCTTTGCCTCCTCTGCATCGGACTCCTCTGACGTTCTCGTAAATTTACAGGCATGAAGACGTGCCGGGGCAGCCTGCACAGTCTTTATTGGGCTTCCTGAAACCATGTGTTTGGGTCTATGTGTGTGTGTTGTTCCTCTGAGGGAACAGCTAAGCAATGAAAGCAGTGACAGATTGGTCTGATAAAGGTACTAATAGGTACACACACAATGAGGGGGGCTTTCTGAGTCTGATAAGAAGGCTCAACAGTCCAAGTACGCTTTCTAGCTCTCTCTGGCTCTCACACAACACACAAACACACATGCATGCACACACACCAAAAACAGATAAGAGCAGCACAGAAGCTGGAACACAGGAAACAAGCAACAGAGATAAAACAGAGTGTGATACAGAGAAGAGAAGAGGCACCCCACTGACACATAGACCTTATCACAAAAACACTTACTTCAGCTGGAGAACAGAGTTGTCCCGTAGTCGGGATTTTTTGGAATATCTCACAAATCAACAATTATGTTATTTCCAAGAGTGAGAAGTCAGTTATAAAGAAAACTTTTACAGTTACATTAATGCTTTAGAGCAGTGTTTCCCCCAAGAAGAACTGTAACGTAGATCTCCCCGAGAGCTCGTCAGGTATACAACCCATCTCTAAATAAAAACCACATCCCTGCTCATGATCAAAGTAAAGATAAAGAAATCACAAGATCTCAATGCATTCTAACTCACACCACACCATTCAATCTTTTCATATAACCACCCAAAAGACAAAAAAACATTAGTGGAACTGACCAATCTGTGTGGTTAAAAAAACCCCACACACATTATTTAACCTGCGCCTGTGAAGATTTTAACAGTGACATTTGACACAGTCGGGAAAAAAAATCTTAAGGGAAGGGAAATGAGTGAGCGGAGTTGGCCCGACTCGGAGAGATAGCGCAGCGAGGTTTCCAGGAAATAAGCAGAAAATCTAATCTTTCCACAGTGAAGAATATGGCGCTGTGAGTTTGTTGACAAACTGTGTTTTTGGCTTTGCAGGCGTTTCAAGTAAAAATGTGAAAATGGTGATAGATTAGGTCTGGTCTGGATTAGCTTGTCAAGAATTGCAGTATAAAAGACCTATTAATTCTCTTAACTCCCCCTCCATGTCAGAATCACTACTATTTAGACCAAAAGCAGATGAAAACACAAAATAACCCCTCTAAGACAACTATTACTCAACACCAAACACGACCGGTTTGGCTGTGAAATAAATTAAGGGTTTGGATTAGAAGGGGGGGGGGGGCATTTGGAAAATGATTACATTCCTGAAGCATATGTGTTCGATAGACCCCCCAGTGTGGGAGGAAGTATGACAGACGTTTTAGGCTCACGTTCAAAGCCTGAGAATAATCAGAAACAGGCAATTAGGATTATCCTCCATTATTTTATCATTTGGTAAACATGCACAAACTTTCCTCTTCACTTCACGTCTCCAGCTCAAATAGAAATTCAGCCTCACTCACTTGCAGAGGTACATATATAAACAGACATATCTGTGATCTGTGTTAGGGCGGCATTTAAATGATGGCTACAACACACAGAGTGCCAAAATGTCAGGAAGTGTCTGTAGACTTGGAGGATGTGTTGCTCCTTCACTCACGATTCAACTCGGTCGGGTCCACGTTGGACGTGTGTAAGTTCTGTCTCTCTGTGCACGCCTCCACCTGTCTCTCACCACTCTATTGTTGTTGACACACTGCTGCTGCACCTGCACTCTCTATAGATATAGTATATGTTTGTGTCTCCCCACATGTGTGTGTGTGTGTGACCACTCACTGTGCCTCTCTTTCTTCCTCTGTTTCCTCACAGCATGTGATTGCCATCCCGTGGGTGCTGCTGGCAAAACCTGTAACCAAACCACAGGACAATGTCCCTGTAAAGACGGCGTGACTGGTATCACGTGCAACCGCTGTGCTAAAGGCTACCAGCAGAGCCGCTCGCCCATTGCCCCCTGCATAAGTACGTTGAACCAGTCTTTACCACATCTGCCTCACTGTAGCACAACATGGCCTGGCAAAAGGTCAGGTGTGATGACAGGCATACGTACATATTCAAATAGCACACATAAACATGTGATACGAACCCATCATACACTGTTTTACACTTTTCTTCAGAAGAGTGCATCTCTCTCAACTTCTAATCTTTTTTTAGATCCAGAATTTTCCTAGTTTAAAAAAAACACACCATTAAAAGTGAACCCCAAGGTTATGGCTCCATTAATCTGAATAAAGACCAAGAGCTGTGTCAGCTTCTCTAAGCTACCACAATGTCTCATGGGATGACTAAAGTGTACTACCTTTTAATTTATTATTTACAAGCCATTGTAATGAAGACAAAAAGATCAAAATATATGAAATCGCATGAGAGAAGGTCTGTACCTCAAGACAGGATAAGAGAGAGAGGGGCTGCAGTATCCAGCATAAGAAAACTTAACGGACTCTCTCAATGAATTGTCTCTCTCCTTTAAAGCAAAACATTTGACTGCTCATCCAGTTTAATGTTCAGTACATGTGTTTATGAGTTTGAGTTTATATTACTTCCCACTGTTGTCAGTTTAAATTTACACAAGTAAAATATTAGAATTAGACCTATCGTTTAAATATCACATAATGCAGATGTGCACTCATGTGAGCAGATCAGCATCAGCAAATGGACCTCCAGGACAAGCATGCAGATGAGACATACTTTTAGAAAGCAGGTTTTTGTCTGTGTAAGTTGAGAAAATCTCATTTTAATTGACCTAAAGACTTGATTGTTTCTTTGTCTCCTTAAACACTCTTCACTGCACTGCTGAAACCACCACACCACTTCCCTCAGTGTATCAGGGTCTTTCCTTGCATGTCACTTTTCCTTCTTTCCTCATAGTCTACGTGAATAATCTAGAAGTCTTTTTGATTGAGCCCTTTCTCTTCACAATGCAACAATAAAATAAAAAAAGCATTATACCGACATATTACAACAAAGCGTGTAACAGACACGCCGGCCTACCACAACTTACTGCAACTTCTGCATCCGTGTCCATTTCACACTTTGCTTCTCCAAAATGTGAAATGTACATACATGCAGAAGTTGCAGTAAGTTGCAGTTACAGTAGAGGGAGATATTTTATTTCGAGCCGATATGAAAATAATCACGGGAAACCGTTGAAACAGACATTTAATATTAATACATTTAAACGTAGATACATATTAGCCACCAAGATTAGTCGATTCTGGAAAGTCTACCAACTTCGTGGCTTTAAATATATTATTCCCCCTGCTAGTAATGCAATTTTAGCACCTAGTAATGCTTTTTGCGTTTTGGAAGAAGCAAAGCGTGAGATGGGCAGACTTGTTTATGTTGAAGGAGCCAGCAGGTAGATGGAATAACATTTTAAGCTTTTAAGAAAGCCAGAATCCAAACTTGCAAGAAAGGATACACAATAAATAGGTCTCTAAGTTGCACTTCAGACGAGGAAAAACATGCAGCAAGTTCAGACTCAACTCCTGCGTCACCAAGACACAGTTCATTGCCATTAGGATATCTTCCAGACGCCCCGTCAGGAATTTATTTACTAAATTTTCTTCTATAATATTAACACTGAAACCTTGCCAGAATATATCACAGTGGTTTAAGTTTCTGGCTCTAACAGTGACACATTTTCATGCTTCTTTAATAAATGTGCCCATTTACATCCTGTAACAACCTCCACACGTCCACACAGCAACATTAGAACATGCACTGCAGATACACATAATAATGAAACTGATCTTTCTTTGTGTCTCTGTCATCTTTTCTCTGGGAATAGAGATTCCAGTCACACCTCCTACAACCCCATCCAGCAGCACGGAGGAGCCATCAGGTAAGCACAGCTGAGAGTAAAACATTTAATCTCTTTTACATATTTATCTATATGTTGCTATAAATCTGTATAAAAGCACATTTGTCCTCGAGAGGAAACGAGGAAAATGCCGTGGGAGGATAAATGTATTCAGTATGAGCTTTTTAACCAGTTTAGTTCCTCGTCCTCTCATATTTTTTCCACAAGTGTAAAAACAGTGTGCAGGATAAATTGGATCCCACTTGCCTTTCCCCTCCTTATTACTGGGGGGGTTCATGAATATTAAATCCATTAGCCGCAGCCCTGGGATGTGCCTCCTTTAATCTCTCACACTTTCACAATTAATCAGTCTAACTGCGGCACAGTGGGGTGTTGGTTGAGTGTGCAGCATTGGGCTCCAGTAGTTTGTTTGATTTGATATTTCATCTCTCCCAGCTCGCTCTTTCCTCTCTGATGCAGTGTAGTAAGAGGAGGAGTGATGGAGGGATCTGGATTTTGTAACTTAGCAAAGGATGTATTGGTATTCTTCTGTTTCAAACAGTTTTGTAACATTTGGTTTGCTGTCCAGTCTTTAATTGAGGAACCTAAGATGAGGATAAGGCATGGAATATCAGATACTGCTACTACTTTAAATGCAGTTTTGTTTATAATCTGCATATAAGTGTTGATATCTGTATATAACAGTTATTAGAGTAGATAGAATAATGGGAAATATAACTATGTAACTGATATAAGAATGAATATTAGTGCTCAAATTTAGAGATTCTAGAATCAACTGTCAGCTTATCAACTGGTTACATTTCTGGTGATATGTCACTACTGAGGGTTGTGGCAGGCTCAATTAGTTACCCAGGAAATGGCATAAATGCTGCCAGAAAACAGAAAAGTGGAAAAACCCACATTTTCTACTTCCTAAAGAGACGTGCTGTGACTGTATGAACAGTGTTCGAATCAGTACCGCTTTTTCTTTCACACACAGTGGAAAAAGTTGATCTGGCTCGTGCCATGTTTTTTTTCTCCCTCTCAAATCAAAATGGAAGAGGCCCAACATATATACATGTCTGTAAGCGAGTGTGTGTGTGCATAAGGGCTTTCCGCAGCTGTTTGGTGCTCTGAGGTTTCAAATCTTCCCTGAACAGCTTTGACTGACAGCACAGTCCAGCTATCGCTGTTGTCCAACCCTCCTCCACCTCTTTTCTTTTCTCTTTAAGTCTCTTTTCACTCTCCTCCACCTCCTTCGTCTCCCTCTGTTTCACGCTTTGTCTTCACATAACACTGTGGGTGGTGCAGAGCTACAATATCTGGAGTTTCTCTGGGCGCCCCTCGTCAGGAATCTGTCTACTTTAGGGGTGTAGGACATATTCTGAGGGATTTTTACTTTTATATATTTATTTTGTTAACTTAAAAAATGCTAATTCAATGTGACAACACAGGAAAGACACATACAAATTCCTTGTATGTGTCTGCACATATAAACATATAAACACGATTCTGATTCTGAAAGAAAATAGACTTTCACATAATTTGTGCATATTTATCGTTTCCACTAACTGTATTAATTAAATCATACCTTTTGCTGGAGATAGTGTTAAAGTGTGAATTATGACCCACCAGGCAAACTGTTCTTCCTTGAGGCTAAAATCAAGCAGACTGTAAGGTGACGGACATCCTCTGTTGGTCATGTCAGAAGCATGAATAGCGATTGGTCATCTAGCCCGCCCGGTCTTGAGGCCCAGAGGATGCATACATTATCCTCCGAGCCTCTTCATGGGGTCACACAGCAAACCCACCTCTGCTCAACCTGGTATTCCTGCAGCTATGATATCACTTCGTGATTGCAAACAGATGTGGCTTGTATGCAGTATTCAACAGTTTTGTTTTTTCTGCACAGTACTGCATACTAAAAAAAGTGATTATGATTATTATCTGCATCATTATTATTAGTTAGCAGCAGGAGAAAGAGTATTCCAACTTTTTTAAAGCTTTTTTTGAAATGCGTTATGCCTTTTGTTGTACCCAATGTACTCGGGGGGGATGGCGATCAGATCAAAAAAGACACGAGAGCGAGGCCGTTTGCACTTTACCCACATTAAATTAAATTTACACAATTAAATTAAATTTATCTACCATTTATTACTTTTTTATTAAAAGCATATAAGAAAATATATACAAGGGATAGAAGAAGAGGAACAAAAGTGAGAAATGGTGGATTACCTGCAAAAAGTTTGGAAAATGAAGAAAATGAGAATAAATTAAATGTAAATGGAGTGTGTGAAAAATTGAGATTCTGAAGACAAAGATTTGAGCATGAGTTAAGAAACATGGAAAGTTAATTTAGAAATAAATATGAAAAAAATTGGATGAGGTGTTGAGTATGAGGTGTTGGGCTGACAGCTATGAGGCAGGTGTCTCGTTGCGCCTTGCTTGAAGGCGGGGAGTGGAGCTGGCCAGGAGGTGGAGGGTGTGAATGGAGGTTATGAGGGAAGATGGAGTGGATATTAATTTGTCTCCTGCAGTAGGGCTCTCCCCCCTTTCTGACCACACGGAGGGTTGGAATGCATGGAGAATACCTCCGATGGTGTAGCGCAGACAAAACACACATTGTGCTGGTAGGTCATGGATGGCGTGAGTCGCCACTCCCACGGGTCACGACAGAGATGTCTGAACAGCAACGAAATGTGGAGGAGATTAACTGCAGATGACCTGCGATGGCCGCCCTGGCCCGTCAGAATACACAGGATGTGAAAGTAACTAATGATGATGAGGAGAAGGAGAATTGGAGTGACCATGATGATACTTATAAGCATAACAAGGTTCAGCCCTACATACTGTATGTGTGTGTGACGTGTCTGAAGCTGGAAGTGATCAGGATCTGTGGCGAACCCCTCCTCGGATTTTTTGAACATGAGTCTTGCTTTACACACCCTGTTGAGTACGAGTCGAGCCCAGCGTGCTTTACGGCCGTGTCGACGTGGGATAGATAGAGAGAGAATAAATACAAGTAAAAAGACACTGAGTTAAGAAAAAATAGAGCCAAAACAGAAGCACGCGTTATCAAATCATCGTTAAACTTTTATCTGAAATTTATTTGCTGCTTTATGCCATTAAATTCTTGCCATATTTATTTCCCCCGGCTAAGCTTTCAGAGAAACCCTACAGGACTCCATGCTGATTTAAAACGGAGCAGTTACAGTAATGGGCGATGCCCCAGCTCATCGGAATTGATTGCACGCCACCCAAAATAAAATCTCGAATCGGGTCAAGAATTCTAATAGCCTCTCTTCTCTGCCTGTTGGTGGCTGAAAGCAAACCATCCTTTGCTCACTGACAATACAATGAGAAAAAGTAGGAGGGGGCTCCTTTTCTTTCTTTCCCCTTTTTTACTCTGTCTTTCTTTGCTGGATGGGATCCAAACTCACAGTTCTAATGTAAGCAGCCCGGCACAGAACAATGGAGCGCATTGCATGGCAGCACACTGGGCTCTGAAATCTAATTATGTGCTTTATTTGCTGCAATTTGTTTCTCAATCAGCCTGCTTCAGGGAGAAAGCCCTCCTCCCGGGCCATCATTTACACCTTCTTGTCTCACTGTTCTTCTACCTTTGATGCCTCTTGCCTCTGTGGTCATGTTCACATATGTTCACTTGCATTTAAACATTAAGAGCAGCTTTGCATAGTTTTAAAATCAACTGTAACTGCAAAGCTGTAGCACGTGCATACTGTACAAGTATATGCAATCACACAGCTCCCTGAGCAGCTCTCACTGTGACCCAAATGTTAATATTATTAATCATTTTAAATATTTAATTTTATATATATACTAAAGGACAGCTAGGCACTTTGGCATTTACTCTGCTACAAACGATGCAGACTTCTTGGCTGAATGTTAAGTTGTTTGCATTCCAGTCCTTCTCTGTATAACTCTAAAGTACTGACTGCTTCATTTGCATTGCATTCACCTTCACCATGCTATTTCTCCACACTGCTTTTGTTTACTTTAGCTTGCATGCCAAGGTGTCTGTTATGTCCCGGTGCTGGCTGTCAACGTTTCTTTACAGTATGAAGAGATATCAAGATAAATTTTGATCACATCAATAATCCATTATAGTTTGACGGGTGTTCTGTGCAATGTTTCCTTCACCTTGCACTCACAGAAAACTGCAGCCACACTCCAAACTTCTCCATAAGAGTGCTACAAATTGCATTCTTCATTTTAAATATGAAAAATAAAAATTGAAGCCCACACAAAAAAGAAAATAAAAAAGATTAAGCACTCTTCTGTGGCCTCAATTTTCATCTAAAAATGACACGTATCACCATGAAACTTCACTAGTTGAGTACTTACATAGAGACAATTATTTTTTTAATTTACAAGCTTTTGAGTATTTTAATGTTTAGATATGTAAGTGGGGCATTATATGTGCAAATTTGCTATAATTTGCATACTTTCCCACAATGGAAACACGAACACTGGATAAAACCACGTTCAAAATTCTCGTTTCATTTTGTTGACACATTTGAGTGGAAGGTTCATGCTGAAGGGATTTTGGATAACTCTTTTTATCACTACATAATTCCCAAAACAGTGTCAACAGACAGAAAAAAGAAACATTTTGCAATACTTTTTTGTATAAGATAAGATAAGATAAGATAAGATAAGATAAGATAAGATAAGACAAACCTTTATTAGTCCCACCCATTTTTAGGTCATGGCAGAAAGTAATGTAATGTAATGTAATGTAATGTAATGTGTATGTGTTAGTCCCCATAGGGAAATAGTTCCTCTGCATAAAAGTTATGAAAAACCCAATAGAATAGGATCAGATAAAATAGAATAACATACTATACAAAATAGAATAAAATGCTTTGTTATAGTAGGTATGGTATATGAACAAACCCCTATTTTAGAATAAAGATGGGAATAAAGCTGAAAGGTTTGGTGTTAGTGTGTGCTACTTGTATGTGTATGGAAATTTACTGGCTTATAAGGATATGTTATAAAATACAATGTATTTTATAAATTAACTAATACTATTTTACATTTTACATTTTTTACTTAAAGATATCTCTGAAATTTCCTCTTACTATAATTTTTTTAATTAAGAGATTTTTTTTAATATTGTAACTTTGAAAATCAACCACAAAATCAATAAAACAACCAACTGAAAGCATTTTAAATTGTATTAGTAGCCTCTGATCATTAACGCGCTATTAGCACAAAATAGCCTCAAATATCAAAACTGATCAGTGCATCAAAAAAAAGTAAATAAATATCTTAAATATCTCTGGTTTGCTGTTATTATGACAGCATTAGCAAATCAATAAAAGTACGATGAGGAGTGCTGTGTATAGATTTTGATCTACAAGTCTGAGCAGTCCTCTGAATATTTGTTGCTGAACGTAATGAAGACATTTGTACTGCTCCTTTTTTCAGCGCTGTAAAGTACCGGTCCAAACACATAAAACTGAGCACTAATGCATTCTGTCTCGAAGCAGCTTTAATGAAAACGATTAGGGTAAGGAGTCGTACAGTACTTTAATAGAAGGGGCAAAGGTCCACCTCTCAGTTACACACTTCTCAGTGCTGAAAGGCAGGAAACAAAGCGCTGTAGTAACTACATCTACTCTGCCCAAAGCACATCTTAGCTCAGTATTAGGGGACTGCTTCCACTTCTCCAGCTTGTAACGCTTTCACAAAGGGAACATTTGTCCTCACTGTAGGGGACTGCCTGGCCCTAAATGGGGATCTTGGGGTGATCTCAGCGGGGCCTGGAGCTGTGTCTCAGGGGTACACTAATGGGGAACGAAAGGCTATCAAAGAGAAGTATCATGATGGTATCGGGGAGGGAGGGGGGTTATGAGAAAACAAAGCCTCCTTTCCATTGAAGGGGGAGGGTGGGGGGTGGGGGGGGGCACCCTCCCCCTTCGATCATTTACATGGTAATCAGGTGCAACTCATGTAGGCTCCCCTTCTTCATGTACTCTTCCTATTTTTGTTACATTCTCTGTTTACTACCACCAGCACCAGCTTTTTGCCCTTTCTAACCAGTTCACGAGACTACCAGCTTCAATTTGGGGGTTTTCCTTAAATTTCTGGACCTTGTCTTGTTCTTCCCACCCCCTCCCTTAAATTTCCCTTTTTCTTTCTTTTTTTGTCAACCTCTCCACCCCTTCGCTCACTACCAATATCTATTCTCCCACCCCCTTCTCTTTTTCGCAGTGGGGGTGCATTTTTTCTTGTTGTGGTGTTCCCCGGGCAACCTCATTCAACTCAATTCAACTCAAGTAAATATGAAAATAAAAAGCACGACCAAAGATTTGGTCACATAAATGATGTTTGCTCATATCAAGTTTGCCTGAAAGTGCCAGTCTGCCCTCCACTACACCGGTCACTCTTTAACACTATAACATGCTCTTCATCCTTGTCTCTCTTAATTTATTATTATTATTATTATTATTATTATTATTAATAATAATAATAATAATAATAATAGTAATAATAATAACAATAATAATAATATTGTCGGCAGTCTGAAAAGAGAGAGAGAGCAAAAACACTGAAAAAACAGATTTTATTCCCCTGATATTCCCCTAACATGACATTATTTTGGCATGCACTGTAAGTAGATGATGCATTACAGCACTGCATGGGGCAATCACTACATCGTAGCAGCAACATAGTTTCTGGATTACTGAGGCAAGTGGAGGTTGCGTCAGCTTATGGCCAACCATAAAACTGTTGGCATACTGTCGTGGGTCTATTTGGACAAGGAACAAGGCTGTAACGTAAAAGCAGTTCACTTTCAATAATTAAAAAACACCATTGCAAGAGCACAATATGATGACGTGGAGGACACACACGTAGAGTCACAGATGTAAATATTTTCCTAACCTGCAGAGATTTCGTATCTTGTATATTTGCATACCTTTAATACAGCCCTGTGGCTGTATGCCATACTGTGCTTGCAGTGTGCGGCTCATTATTTTCTTTATTGAACCACAGTGAACACTAATATCCCTGACCCCCACCGCTCATGAATACATACATTTTAATATATTTTCCTGGCCAAAAATCTTTCTGAACAGTGTACATCGAATGATGTGGATGAAAAATCAAATGTTCACCTCATCTGCCTCAAAGAATATGTAAATACATACTTGTCTTTGAGAGCTTCCTCTCAGCAGAGTGCTCTAAGCTGATTTGGATGACACCGCTGCCTGCATGAGGTATTCATTTCTTCACGGCTCCAGAATGGACGCACCCCCAAAATGAGGGTCCTTTGCCTAACACTTCATGGATGGCTAATTTTCCCTTCCTGACCTCCCTTTGTGTGGCATTGACCCCCTCCACCTCCCCACCTTCCACTCCCTCAAATAGCTGACAACCCTGCGTGCCCCCCCTGCAATAAATGCAAAAGCTTGACGTGGTCCTCTGTGGGGCCTTGAAGTGATCCCAGTGCTATTTTTTTTTTCAGAAGGTCGGGGGCTGAGGTGACAAGTGTGGTGAGATTTGGGTGGAGGTGGGGGATGAAGTAAATGTCGGGTGGTCTGCATAGGCCTAAATTATTCCCACCGTCTGAGTGGGTTCTTGGCACTTTTTCTTTTAAATCTCTCAAAACACTGTGCTGATAACATCAGGTGCTTTTATAAGACCATCACACACGATGAGATTGTGCTGTTGGACAATAAAAAAAAAAGTTTATTTATTTCTTTATTTATTGTTCTGTCATTTTTCTTCCTAAACTTGAAACTCAGTGAACAAGTTTAGGCTTTCCAGATTCTACTACATGCAATAGAAGCATTTAAAGCTTTAAATCTCAAATAGATATGTTTTATTTAAATAATTATGAATATCAAATATAACGTTTTCCTACCAAAATCATGAATTATTATAATCATTTTAATATTAATTTAATACCACCATATTAATTGTGGTATTACTAAAATATCATATTAAGTATGGTATAACTATGTTAACTAATAATGATTTAATTAATTATAAGATTTTTTCAGAAGGTAAAATTTTATTTTGATCAATTCATAGTGATTCCTTTAATCAAAGGACAAAGTGGAAAATTCTGGGACGATTCTTTTCTGATTAAGTAAAAATTCAAAATCAGTTAATTTGCTGTGGGTGCAAGTATTCATTTTTTTCAAATGTCTTAAATTGAGAATATTATTTTCCAAGAACAGTGAAATTGTTAAAAAAAAATGCAAACAGTTTAATTCACAGAAAAAATAAATACTGGCAACCAAATTGCAGAGATTCTTTGATGCGTTATGACTCGTTATCATATTTGATTCTTTGTTATTCTTGCAGACTGTGACTCTTACTGCAAGGCATCCAAAGGCAAACTTAAAATCAACATGAAGAAGTACTGCAAGAAAGATTACGGTGAGTAAACAAACAACGCGCTGCCTGTTTAACCACTCACATTTACATTATGAAGACATCTGCTTTACTTTGAGATCAATCTGTCTCTAAGAACAAATAATTTGCACTTTTAGGGAGTCCCAGTGTTGCTGCAGAGTCTTTCTTTGAATGCATTTGTTTGCTCCAACAATCAGAATACCTTCAGTGTTATGCATCCAGCCCAGAACGTTGCTGGGAAGCAGCAATAGTTTTCAGGCGAGGCATTTTACTGATGTCTTACTACAGCTTTCTGAGAACAGAGAGTCAAAGGATCAAACAGAAGACAACAGATCTTCAAGGAGGAAGAGAGAGGCAGACAAACAGAAGGACAGGGAGGGAGAAGATGTGTGTGCGTGTGTGCTGGAAGGGTTATCTCTGAACAGTCGAATAAGACTCCAGCGGATAAAGCAAGTCAGTATGACAGACAGTGGGAGCTCTTTAAGAGATCCTCATTAAGAAAGGCCACTTCCCCCACAGCTGATGTGTTTCTTGGTGAATTCCTGTGACCATCAGTCTGCCACCCCATTCAAGGTGTGGATAAGACATATGACCTCTCCCCTCTTCCTGTCCCTCTGGCCCCTCCCCTGATTGAAGTCAGGCTGCTGAACTAGTCAACCAAGCAGCGGCATCCTGGAGCATACTTCAGCAGCTTGATGGACATGCCTGGACTTTGTTCTGTTAGGATTTGCAGGAGTTAAAGGGTCAGCTTATAGACACCTCCTCTTCCACCAGTGCCTAACTTGATGCTAGTGGCGTGAGAAAAACCTTGTCTCTCAAATGTGTTGCGGTCCACGCATGATTTTTTTTTTTTTTGTCAAAAGGCAGAAAATACTGGAAATTTCAAAACCAAGTTAGCATTTCTTCTAAAATCAAGATTAAAAATGCATACTTTTATTGTGCTGTTGTATTATATTTTATTTATACATTAACACAGATGTGTAACAAATACAATTTTAAAAACCAATCCACCCCAAATGTAGGGCACGAGGGGGAACTAAATGAGTATGCCATAATATGGTCTGCATAGCAAGCATATCTCAACCCAGTAAATACCTCTACCATTGCTATTAAACACCAAATGAGGAAATATGTTTGGGAATAATGATGCACAAGAAACACTGAGACATCGGTGTCATTCTGTCAGATGACTGGTGTCCTAGAAATGCATGACCTTTAACAGTGGCACCATAATGCCTTTGATTAGGGTAATGGTGAGACAAATCTGTTCCCTTATCTTGACTAATTTAAGTTAGTTAAATGAATTTTGTTTTTCTTTTTCTTTTTTTTTTTAAAGTGGAGAAAAAAAAAGAAAAATGAGTGTAAAGACAAAGTCTCCTGGCCAATGAATTTACTGCTTTGTGGAATTGCGCAGAATGGCAGAATGCACTGGACCACTAAAACACCACTATTAAAACTGAGTGATAACAGTAGGCAGCACCCATTTGAGGGTGAGGAGATGTAGAGATAAAAAGAGGCATCAGTATGACGCGCTGGAGAAACGATCACTCAACACAATCCGGAGTACCCTTATCTACAGTATGTACATATCCAAAGACAAGACAGCAGGAGAGGCTCCAAAATTGATTTGGCATGTCTCGTAGGTGTGCTGGTACTGATGGCTGAACGACTGCCAAGCAAGAGACAAATGAAAAGAAAAGATTCTCTTTAATGCTTTTTGGGTGTAGATACAGAGCCTTGTTATGTAGAGGGTGTAAATTAGGGAGTCTGAACAGAGAAGGTTCGTAAATCTTGAGATAGAAACTCTGCTGTTAAGTGTGATTTAATCAAAACATGAAGCCAAAAGGATTCTCTTTGGCTGCCATGTTATGATGGTGTACAATCAATCGAATAAACACATGCAGATTTAATGTGTTCATGCACAACAACAGACAAAATATATGTTTGTTTGTTTGTTTTTTAAATTTCCTTTACAAACTCTTAAATTAAATTATTTTTCAGAGCTGGATCATAGTTAAAATATTTAATTTAATCTGTGAGTCCAGCAGTGGTGTTATGTTCTTTGTCATTCCCTGTGTAATTCACCTTCTCTCTGCTGGGTGGCTTTGTGCCAGGAATATACATTAAAGGATCCATTTCCATCCATAGTTAGCAACGGAATATTTAAGACTAATTACGGACAAGAACAAGAACCCTGTGCAGTATTTACTCAAGCTTAGCAAAGCTGACTGAGACACAATGTAAATCTGCAGAAGTTGGCTCCAGGGAGCCATAGCTTTGCACTGTTTTGAAAGGATCAGCAGGGATCTGTGTCCCATGCTGCGTAGGGAAACGACACTACAAGCTTCTGCATTTGATATGCAGACGCACATTAGCAGTCACAGGAGGATGCAAAGCCCGGGGAAATGTCTCATCTCAGCAAATCCTTGGTGCAGCCACCTTAAGCATCTCAGTGTCCACAGTGCGCAGTAACTGTTGTGCAAACACAAACAGTACATGGTGGCAGCTGGTATATCCAAGGTGCTGCAGAGGTCACTGTTAGGTCAGCCAACGGTCATTAGGGCTCCCATGACACTGAGGCCTAAATAAAACTATTATACAAATAATAGTTTTATACATTAATACATCGCAGAAGAATAAATTGCACATGTAATTACTGTGCTACAAGCATAACACAAAAGATCTGGTTTAACCAGTATTACTGAAACATAATAGCATAATGGAAACTAAAATTACACGCAGATACAGATATGTTTTCAAAAATCACCTTTATTCAGCTACACTGTTGCAGCTGGAAAAAGGTTTTAGAAGCAGTTTTAGATTTTCACCATTTTATGAAATGAATCCCAAGGCAGTGATTCAAAATCAATAATACAAAACCTGGCCTGAGTACAGGGGTATACACTTAATACTGCCAAGATGTTCAGCTCCATAAGTGCTGAAGGTGACCTTGTGGCAAGATGGTTCATTTCGAAACTGGTCTCATAAGTACAGGGGGAAGAGATCGGTTCAATAAAATGCATATTGATACACGCTCTCTTTCCTCCTCTTCTTCACTCTCACTTTCCCTCACTCCTCCTCTCACAGGACAGAATCGGTACATTAATCATGTGATATAACTGAGTATCTTTCCAGCTAACGTCTTTAATAGCCCTACCCTGTCTCCTAATCACATTACAAATCACGCTGCTGTGTCAGTAAATGGACATAATGCATACTGGGCTCCATCTGATAGCTTGACCAGGTATAGAGAAAAAATCTAGGTTAGAATTAGGTTACCAATTTTTACTTTACTGGGATTAATAGCACATTGGTGTCAATTTAAACATGTCTCTTACCTCCTTTTATCAATTCAGTACTTGCTTTTCAATCAATTTCAGTTGATTTGTCACCATTTAGATTTGTACACATCATATTTGACCTTCTTTAAAGAATTAAAACTGTGTTTCTGCAACCTATTCAATGTCTTATTAGTCTGATATGCACTTTTAGTCACAATGTAAAGCCCTTTTGAAAATAAAAATACAAAAAGAACAAATCTTTCCTTGGTGAGGCAATGCAAGAATGCTGTAATGCACTCAAATGCCAAGATTTCCTCTGCTGCAATAACGCAAATCAACAAAACCTTCTTAAATCTAAAACACTTGGGGATACTGAGGTTTGATCTTCCAGCCTTGGAAATGTCAGAGCTCTGGATTTTGTGACATAATCCCTAATGTGCATCATGGGCTAACCCTTTCCCCCTTTTGTGACATCATTACTCTTTGGTAAGACTGATATAGGAAACTGAAACAAAATCCAGGCCTTCATTAAAATAATAAAAATGTCTGCATATCTCATGCAAGCAGGAGATTAGCTCAATAAATATCCAGTGACATAGTGATTTGACCAAAACAATCTGTAGACTAAATTGTTTAAGCAAAAACTTTGGCTTGGAAGGACTGTTAAAATTAGAAGGTAAAGCCACAGTTTTGAGTGTTTTTGGAATGCTAGCTGCATAGCTGTAGGGAAGGCAATGCCAGTCGGTCTACCGCAATGTCTCTTAGTGAAAAATCTGCTGGATGATTTGCTTTAAAGAAAAATTTACAGACATGCAAGCTTCTTATTGCTGGCCTACTGTCGTCATGGACTTTGAGCTTGTCAATCAACCTCTGATTTGTAAATCTTAGCATGCATTGGACAGCAGGAACCAAACGTCCAAATTGATGTCTTAAAATGATACACAAGATTAACCTGGCATGTTTTTTGATGGGAGGAGAAACCGAGAAGCTCCTAGAGAAAATTTAAAAACATAAAAATTCCAAACAGAAAGAACCTGTCTGGGTTTGACCCGATCTCTGAAGGCAGAGATCTTTATATACTTGAAAAATCATCATAACTCACTACCATTTACAACAAATTCGTAACTGGCTTGCTTTGTTACAAATGCAAAAACTGTGGCAATGATACAGCATATTTAGTTAAGTTTGAAATGCAGATTTTTATACCCAACCGCTTACCTGAAGCTACCTTTAGGCTAGTATTAGCTTAATTCAGTGTGGCCACTTAACATGCAGCCACCTTAAAAACAGACTACCTCTTGTAAAATGTCAAATTAAATGTACTTGAATGCATAAACTTGATATATGTATGTAACTGTAAAAGTGTTAAAAGAACTTTTAGTCTATCCAAACACACCTGAGAAAAATCGCAGTAGCAAAGATGCAACGTAGAAACCGAATGTGGCATCTACATGCTTGTATCTGTGATGAAAATGATATACTCAATCATAGTATATAGCCTCAAAAACTAGCGTACCCAGTCACACAACTCTGCTGCAGACTTTTAGCCTTACAGAGAAACTAAACTTTACCAGTCACACGCTTTTGCATGTTTGTTGAATCCAGTAAAAGGAAATCATGTGTCACGTCTTTTGCTTCCCAACTTTTCTTTGCAGCTGTCCAAGTGCACATCCTGAAAGCGGACAAATCCGGTGAGTGGTGGAAATTTACTGTCAACATCATCTCCGTCTACAAGCAGGGAGAGAGCCGCATCCGCCGTGGGGACCAGTTTCTGTGGGTCCGTGCCAAAGACGTGGCCTGCAAGTGTCCAAAGATCAAGCCTGGGAAGAAGTACTTGCTGCTGGGAAATGATGAGGACTCCCCTGGCCAGGGTGGAGTAGTGGCAGATAAAGGTAGCCTGGTTATCCAGTGGAGGGACACATGGGCGCGCAGGCTCAGGAAGTTCCAGCAGCGCGAGAAGAAAGGCAAGTGCAAGAAGCCATAAGCAGGATGAGATGGAGATGATTCTGAAGAGGGAGATGATTTCAAGAAAAAAAGCTGAGCTGGCAAATATTAAAAAATAAATAAATAAATAAATAAATAAAAAGAATGGAAGAGTGACAGACAGAGGACCATGGACAGAAAAGAGACTGTTTATGTCGCTGCTTTTTTGTGTAGAAGCATGAAGAGAATTATTTAGGATGATATGTTTTTTTCAGTCGAACTTTTGTTGAAGGAGCTCACCTGGCAGATTTGGTTTATTTTACTTTGAGATTCCTTTCTCTTGTGGATTTGCACCTATTACCAGTATATATCATTATTTGTTTTGTTCTCATTATCCCAATATGAAATCCTTATATTTTATGTTTGAATTTTATGGACATTTTCCGCTGTTGCAAAAATGACAGAAAGCCACTTACCTACCGCTGCAACTTTGCCTCTGCATGTTGTCTTGGAAAATTGTATTATTCGCTAAGAAGTGAGCTTGTTTCAACAAAAGATTTCACTGTTGAGTGGCAATTGAGGAAGTGATATGTAGTTCCTTTATTGAGATTTGTGCCATAAATGCTATTGTTTCTAAGCCACAGAAATGCACACATTTAGCTGTGAAAGACTTGCCATTCCTTTCCTGTCTGAATTTAGTTATATTATGCAATTCAAGCAACACTAAATTGCATGTCTTACATTTTCATCTGTCAGGACTTTTACAGTTTTACAACATGCAAGTGACAGAAAAGAATCTATGACAGTATTGACTTTTATTTTCAATCTAATCAATCCTGAGCGTCCTTGTTACTTCAACCAGTGCCCCTCAGATTTCACAGTTAAGCATTTGCCTAAACCTGCATGTGAGATTGTAATGTTCACTAAATAGTGCTGCTTGTGGTACTGTACTAATGTTCAATTTCTGAGGGAAAAAAACATTTAAATCACTGATTTTACCTTTAGTAGTTACAGTAACTGTGATATACTTTGTGTCACAAAAAAATAGAAGCTTTAACAAGTGACTTGGGAATAAGAAGCCAGCTACATTTTATTGATAACCTCTTTACAAAAATGTTCATAAAATCCTGAGTTGTTCCTAATAGACATTAATAAGAAACTACCCTCAACCGCTTCCTTCCTGTCATGAGGCGTCACCGCAGTGGGGAGCTTTGGAGGTTTGATTCGGTTTTATGCCGAAAGCCCTGCCTAACGCAACCCCAAAGGGCATTTGGGATGTGAAATCTTGTTTGTTTTTCCTTTCATCAGCAATGCTTGCTCTGCCACAAATGATCAGAACTGTGAAAGTTACCCAATGTCTGTTGTTGTGTAAAATGGATGCAATGTTAAAATTGTGCGGGTGAAAGCAGCTGCTGGTACTGCATGTTCTCAGAGGATACTGACATTTGACAAAGACAAATAGTATGACGCAAGTGCAACAATGCAAATATTTATATGATTTACCTCTTCAGACATGTGTTCTTTTAAACCAACTTATGGAAAGCTCGCCACAGTATGTCAAAATCTTCTACAATGGGTATGAGTAGGACAAAGGGAGAAAAATGTTGCAACTGACCCCCTGCCTGTTACTACCACTAAATCTGAAAAGATGATCTGAAAGATATTCAGGTTGTAGAAAGCACAGAGTGAAACAAAAAATTTCTTACCTTACGTGGCAGAGAAAATAATCCCTATAGTGATGAAAAACTGAAGCTTATTGCGCCTTAAGAAAGTGCTCAACACGCTTACCTAAATTTACTTTTAGAATCCACCTCACAGCTTGTATTCGTCTGTAGTACTTCCTGCAGTATGGTGGGATTGCATATAAACCCATTTACAGGGCACACTCTTTTGCAAACACAATGCACGACTGTACACTCAGTAAAAGAAACGAATCAGTAAGAAAATGCCTGCCATGTTAATTCTCTTCATGTCAATACTTGCAAAGGGATAAATGGGGTGCATTACAATAACTTGTCGCTGCTTGATTCAAACCACTTTGTGTGCAGTTCAGTTTGGATTTCTCCAAGGAATGCATGGATAAAAATGCTCAGGTTTGTAAAAAGCCCAAAGTGTATTTGATTTATCATGAACTTTTTATCTTTTGAGGCCAAATCACAACACCGGGAGCAGTATGTTTGTGAGACAATAAAACATCATGTTAAATGGGCGATTGTTGTCTCACTAACGTTACATTTAATTTCTAACGCTCAAGTGAGTGTAAAGAGGGATAGACAAGAAACTTTCAAACTTTCATAAAAAGGAGATAAAGATTTGATACCAGTATCTTGGAAACATCCTCAATTTTGTAATTTTACTCATAGTAAAAATCCTAGATGATGACAAATTGAGCATATTGAGCTGTGAAACAGAAAAAGACTGTACTAGTCAATATTTACATTAAGTCTTTTTTTATTGTTCAATCAGTTTAATATTTGTTATTGATACCCAAGATGCTGCTACATGATGGCGCCTTCTTGAATTCTCCAAAACTGATAATCACAATATTCTGACATATACACAAAATTTTTGCACGGTATTGCATTTCATTGTTAAACCAACAATGTTATGTGTCAAGTTCTTTTTTTTTTTTTTTTAACTATTTTTATTTGGCACAGTGTAATCCAAAATGACACGACTCTGGTCTCCATAGCTTCTAGCTGTAACTTTGACATCCGTCTCCTGAGCAATGGTTTGACAAGCTTCCAGATGAAACGCTATACACATACACATCAAAGCATTGCTTTGTGTTCATACTATGAATTGTAAATGTTGTTTTCACCATTGCAAAGTCTTTTGCAATGTTTTACAATGCCTACTAATATATTATGGTTATTATATATGAATATATTTAATGACACAAGACATTGTGGATTTTATTGTCTTTTTTTTTTTTTTTTACTTGTTTGTGGTTATTTAGATCGTTGTTATTAAAAGAAGGAAATAATAACTACTGAACACACCAATCTGGTAGAACTAAATTCAGATTTTCAGAATAAATAAACTCTTGTTACATTGAAAAATCATTTGCCTCTGTTGCTTTTTTTTTTTTTTTTTTTAAATTGTAAGTCTACAGAATTTAATGTATTCAGTTTATCCCTGTTAACTGGTTGCAGTATCATTATAAATGTAGTAGGAGAAAAAATACGCAATGGAATGAATTAAAGTAGTACTAGTGTGTTAAAACTTTGCCAAAGGTCCACACTACCTAAAGATCATGTTACAAAACACTTCAGAGTGAGGCGTGAGCGTAAACGCAGACAGGAGTCCAGGCTCTATAAAATGGAAATGTCATTTATTAGAAATTACAAGCTGAATTGATTTACAGGGAAGGAAAAGAGCCATGTTAGTAACACAGCCGAGCTGTTTGTTTTGGCTATGAGCTATTCTATAAACATTACAAAATCCAAACAAAATGATAACATTACAGCTGCTACAGTAATAAATGGGTAAATATAAGTGAGTGTGAATATTGCAAAGCTTGCGGAATTACTGTATCCAGTGCAAACCTCAGCCCAACCACAGACAGGCTTATGAAAGAAAAGTCCCCGTTGCCTGCGGGAGGTCCTACTGTTAGGTCAACATTCTCACAGTTCAGGCAGTAAAATAAACCTTTTTCAAAATGCTTACAAATCTCCAAATAATTTAAGAGTTTGATGATTTACTAATTTATTAGTAAGACATTTGAATATCTATTAAACAATTTACACCCACAAAAAAAGAAAGTAAATGTCTTTTGAAAGGTTACATATACCCTTAAACCCAAGAGTGACATACTGGATAAAAACATTTGTCTGTGGGGTTTTCCCCACTTCTCCTTTATTAGATAGCCCAAAATGACCTGTGTCTTAATGTGAAGAACAAGTATGGTAAATCTGCTTAAATGAGGGTCTGTCTGTTTGATGTCACTGCTGATTAAATTCTGCTCCAGACTTTCATTGTTGCTGTCCGACACGGGTCCATGATCACTGCTGTCTTCATCACACAGGCCACGCAGCAATCACTATAATGGCTATAAGAAGTAGTACGATCACTACCAGCATCCCTGAGCAGAAGGAAGGAGGGGAAAAAAGACATGTTAGAACAATTGGAGGGAAAAGGACATCAGACTACAAGGTTCATTAAGTAATTTCACACACACACAAAAATGAAAATCTGGATGCTTTTTCTCGCCTAACACAGTGAGAAAACACTTCTGAAGAAGACAGGTTGCTGTGTGAATAAGAACAGAATGCAATCAGATGGAAATCACTTAATCTATAACATGCTATAATGGCCAGAGATCAGGTGATTTACTCGAATAATATATATTTTTTTGCCTTGACAAACTTGGGTTGCTTCTGCAGTATGCTTTGGAATATCATCCATTTGGACTAAGAAGCGCTGTGTGATCAGTTTTGCAGGATTTGGCTGAATCAGAGTGTAGCCCTGCACACTTCAGAATTGATCCGGCTCCTTCCACCAGCAGTCACATCATCAATAAACACTAGTGGCCCCGTTCCACTGGCAGCAGTACATGCCCATGCCATGACACTGTGTTCACCTTGTTTAACAAATGATGTTGTATGCTTTGGATCATGAGCAATTCTTTTCCTTCTCCATGCTCCATTCTCTTCAGTACAACTTAATCTTGGTCTCATCTGATCAAGATGATCACTTTCTGTGCTTTTGGTGTAGCTGAGCTCTCCAGTGAACTCGCTGGCTGTTGATTTGGTGACTTGTAAATTTTTGATGTCCTTCTATTAAGTTTTTTTTTCCTCTTCAGCCTAATGTTGGCCTCATTCGCTGACATTTGGAGCTCACATTTAAAATTACATATAAAAACTATTAAATATAAACTTTAGATATTAATGTCTGCTTCATCTGTCATGAAACAACAAATAAACAGACCTCATCTTGCCACAAAACTGCTTGCCAGTCAATTGTCCAGTTTGGAGTCTTTGAAATTGGGAAACTGTGTATAAAAATGTCTGTAATGTAAAAGTTTTGTGAAACCTCATGAATTAAAGCTGAAAGTCTGCACTTCAATCATATATTGATTGTTGGATTTAAAATCCACTGTGGTCGTGTCCAGAGACAAAACTACAAACACCATGTCTTTATCCAACTAATTATAGACGTCAGTATGTGTCACTCTGTTGCCAAATAACCAAAATGAGTTACAGTGTAAGCATTAATTTTTTAGGGTGTTAAGCACTGGACACCTGCTCCAGAAGTTTATTTATTTTGTCTGTGTTAATCATGAACTGCTCTACATTTATTTAAAAAGCAATGAGACTTCATCATAGTCAACAACCACCACCCATCAAGTCTAGCAAGGCTAAATAAAATAAAAATCACTGCTGCTCAGATACAGTTACACAATTTTCCAAACTCATTTGCTATGATAATTTATGCTGAATTTTCTTACTTCATGTTTTGTTGCTATAACCCTTGGTGATAAAACCTTTTCAGCTTGAAACAATATATATATATATATATATGTATATATATATATTTATGATTTCAACTTTAAAGTTAAAAAGTCAAATGTCAAGCAGCTGAGAAACTCCAAACCTGATTTGAGACAGACCCAGAGGGAAGGAGGGGAATTCATCAGACACAAGGGAATACACTTGGAAGAGGTAAGAAGCCTACATACCTCACTACTAATTTTCAAAGTCCTTGATCTAACACAAGTCCCAAGTGCGTATGCCCTTGTAGCATATAACCATTCTTCTCTTGATGACTTAATGCAATTTACATGCGTTCAATGGCCACAAAAGCTTTATTGCCATAGATCGCACACTGTGATAGGCATGTGTTTCTGATTCTGTTTCAAGAGGGTAATCATTGTTTTTCTCTGATACTATGGCAGC